TGCTACCTAGTAAAGTAAGGTAGCAAAAGACACCAATCAAACTCTTTGGGCGGCTAATAGGCCCCTTGTTACACGTATGAGAGTCCGAGAGACACCCGACTCAAGCCATCATGGTTGGGCTGCATGAGCCGCCGGTTGCCCCGAGAGACGTGGAGTAGTAAACATAGCGACCTTCCAGCACTTGTCAATCTGGATGCTACGAATATGATCAACTCGTCCAGATCAGCTCAACTGAGCAGTTCTTTCAATTTCTTTACAAGGTCTTTTCTGCCTTGTTCTTTTTATCGTCATTAGTATTTGGGTTTTGTCTTTTCGTATCGGTTACTATTGTGGTGTTGTTTTATCTCCTCGTGGTGTCTGATATCTTATCTCGTGCATTGTGATATCCGTCTTTACGACTATATTCTCCGGTCCCACCCCTTCTTCAAGGCTTGAATGAAAGAGACCTAGAAGTGAATCGTTACACTCGACGGACTAGTGTCTGCAAAAATGCCAGGAACAGTTGCAGAACCTCCATCGGTGTCCCTATCCTGTATGATCCCGCATTGTAGTTTCGTCATTGATGCCATCGAGACTAACTACTTTATTATCTAGTTGCCAATAACTTCTGGGGCAAAGAGGATGCTGGCGTTGGGCCTATGCTAGATCGCATGCATGGCGCGAAAGTGACTTGCGATGAGCTCAAAACATTCTACAGTAGTACGTTAGACATCTAGCACAGATGCTACCTCATCGATCAACTTCTAACGAACCATGCAGTCCGCGCCGCGATCGAAGATGAATATTCGCGGAAGCTTATGGCACTTTGCCGCAAGCCGCTAGGAACACACGAAACAGGCTCTCTGCGGTCGTCGTTCGATGTTGTCCGTGGTGAGACGGAATCGATAGCAAAGTCCCACGCCGCAATTGCAGCACAAATGAAGCGAGAACTTGAGGAGCCATTGATTGCTTTTGCAGGCGGATCGAAGGAGAGAAGGAAGATCATTCAGACAGGAATTGAGCGCCTTCTCAAGACCAAGATACAACAGACCCAAACGGTGAACAAGGTACGGCAATGCTCGGTCTTCTATATATATGGCATTGTAAATGGACATTAACTGACATGGCCCTAGACACGAGACCGATACGAGCAGGATTGTTTGAGGATCAAGGGTTACCTCGCACAAGGACATATGGTAATGGGGCAGGAGGAGCGGAAAAACAAGGCCAAGCTTGAAAAGACACAAATCCAACTTGCAACCAGCAGCAGCGAGTACGAGGCCGCTGTCAAGATCCTCGAAGAGACTACCGGTCGTTGGAATAAGGAATGGAAGGCAGCGTGTGATGTACGTCCTGCACTGAACACGTCCACGGGGAAATGATGCTAATCGACTATCAGAAATTTCAAGATCTGGAAGAGGAACGAATCGATTTCACCAAGAGCAGTCTTTGGGCGTACGCAAATATTGCGTCGACTGTGTGCGTTAGTGACGACGCTGTATGCTATGGACGTCCTCATTAAGATGATCGGAGCTGACATTGTGACAGTCTTGTGAGAAGATTCGTCTTTCGTTGGAAAATTGCGAAGTTGAGAAAGACATTGTCTCTTTCATCAAGGAAAGAGGAACTGGACAAGACATTCCGGATCCGCCCAAGTTCATCAACTTCGCCCGGGGCGATGTAAACGACACAAGCTCAGAGCTGTCTGAAGAAGATGGATTTTCTGTCGCTCAATTTCAGCGTACCATCAATCCAGCATTCCGCAGTTCCTCTCCGCAACCGTCAACTTACGAATCTCATCATGAGCCGCGGTCTGAATCGGCAGCTAGGCTGGATAACAATAGCCCTACAACGCCTGCCAGCAGGGAAGCTACGGTCACTCCGCAAAAACCAACGCAACCGCCGGCCCCTCTGGACCTTCGTCGGGGAGGCCATCTCCCACCAAACTATGACCCTAACCAACACGGAGAGATTGCGCCGGTGCCGCACAATGCATATCCGACGGACGGAATGACCATGTTTTGCCGCACTGGACCCCCTTCAGAGCGTAGCTCGGGAAGCAACAGTGCTTATCGGCCTTCGAGCCGTGAGTCGCAAAGTGAGATCTCTAACCCAACATCAGTGTCGAGCCAGGAGCCTCCCAGCGCCAGGCAATCTCCAACGAAGCCCACCAACGGGGTTGCGCTCCCAGGTCTTGGTGGAGACAAGCAGATCCAGAAGAGAAGAAGTGCTTTCTTTAGCAACAGCCCGTTCCGCCGCAAGAGCCGCCATGATAAGGACCGTAATTCTGGCCCCTCGCACACCCCTACTCGAAGCACATGGGAGTCTCCCACAAAACAGGCCACTCCAGTAAAGGCACCGCAGCCTCAGCAACCGCCAGCGCCTGTCCTTGACAATGAGCGGCCGGTTGAAAGTCCTGAGCCGGTAGACCCCAGGGCAAATTTTCAACTTAATGTTGGTAACAACGTTTTTGATGTCGCTTCCCCAGACAAGGCCACGGCCAAGAAGGCTGCTCAAACGGCCAAGGCTGGAGAGGAGGAGCTTGACCCTATCGCCCGTGCTCTAGCAGATTTGAAAGGCGGTGGAAAGCAGTCCATGACCAGAGTGTCTGCCGACAGGTATCATGGCATTGCCACACCTGTGCCGTCCGCTCCTTCTTCCAACTACAGCGACGCACCTGTGGCGACTCCCCCTCCTGCATACAATGATCCGTCGGTCAAGCGACTTGATGCGCCACAACCCGCCTTTACTTCAGCGCAGATGCAGAAAACGACACAGAAATACACTGGTCAGACCCAGAGTATGCTTAGGGGAAGCGGTAATACCCCAAGTTTGGCAAGCCGAAACAGCGTGGAAGTTCCTCGAGTCAAACAGGAAATTCCTCGAGCGAAACAGGAGATACCTCGAGCGAAGTCACCTGTTCCGAGACGCAGCGCCAGCCCACAAGTTTCAAATCCCCAAGTGATCAGTCCACAGCCAGTCAGCCCGCAGGTTGCGCCTGCTCGTGTGGAGACCCGGACGGGCCATTACAGTAGGGGCGCAAGTCCAAGCCCGGGTACGTATCAGACAAACAGTGTCAGAAGCCGCTATAGCCAATCGCCCTCGGTTTCTACTCCGCCTCAGCGGCCTGTCGATGCAGCACCATCCCCGCGTGAATTTCCTAGGCGCAGCTCTCCAAACCCGGCGGCGGCACGCGCCGTTTCTCCTCAACCCCAATTCAGACAGCAGACCAGGCCTTCCAGCGCCGGTGGTATGGAGTTGCAACTGTCGAGCGGTGGTAGTGGGGATATGTACGGCACCAGTTATGACAGCTACGGCTCTCGGGCAGGGACTCTGGTCGGCCTATGTCATATTACGGCGATGGTGGTAGCCAGGGAGGCAGATCCAGGAGCAGGACTGTGGCAGTGGCTGACCCTAGCAGGCAGTTTAGCCGGGACGGACGTCCAATTCTACATTTTGGTAAGTAGTGAAGTGCCCACAGCACTCGAACCTGTCTCCAGTCGACAACAGACACCTGGAGCTAACTTTCATTCTTTTCGTAGCACGCGCTTTGTACAGCTATACCGCCGCCATACCCGAAGAGCTCGGATTTGCTAAAGGAGACGTCTTGTCTGTCATTCGGCTTCAGGACGACGGTTGGTGGGAAGCCGAGATTACGACTACTCGGAGCCGTACTGGTTTGGTGCCGAGTAACTACCTTCAAATCATCTAAACGATCCGTCTCACGAGCAGCCACGATCTTTGAACCTTTATGTTTGGTTATGTTTTTGTTAATGATGAAGATACCAGTCGTTTGTGCCCTTGATGATTCTTGTGTCCTGCGATTTCCCAGCTCGTTCTCTTTACGAACCTTTCGATTCTATTTCCTGAGTCGCGAATGTGACATTTATGATGGTTTCTTCTCGGCCCCAATCTTCTGTCGGTCTTACTTTTTGTCATCATGTTATTTTTCATAACCCAGCCATTACTTTCCCCTCCCGCTTTACTATGTCTGTTTCCTGTACGAGATTGTCGCTCCAGAACTTGTGTCTATGCCCTGGCAAGTATATGCGTGGCCCTGGTACGAGGTCAATAATATCAAACTTTTCTGAGCCAGAATATACCGACCCAGGCAGCAATGGATTGTTTTCATCCATCTGTTAGTAGTAAGTAAAGCCGTCCTCTTACCGCCGCCTATGTCCACAAAGCATAAAACCAGCATCTTTTCCACACGTTGCGCAATGAAGTGAGTCGACTGTACAGAAGCTCTGCGGAAACCCTCAGTCTTGTGACCGATATTATTCCTCCAACTCCCCGAGAACGCCCGTTTGCAGTGCTGGGGAAGAGAAGAAAGCCAACCCATGCAATAGACAGAATCCCAGCCAAACCCCCAACCCTCCCACCTAGCCCACTCTCCCACACCCAGGAACCATACACATAAACCCCTCCGCCGATCTTAACTCCCGCACTATAGCCATCCTACAATACGGCTCAGTGCAAGCATGGAAACCGCCATGGATGGCGATCGATCCTGCGCTCACCGCGTCCAGAAGGCGTCTGCTGATAGGCACGGCGAGGAGGCTGCGTCTGTGGCTGTAGCTTGGAGACTCCGGCGAAGCTTCTAGGATGGATTTCGCTGTCCAGCAGGAGATGAGGACATGGTCGTTTCGGTGGCCGCAGGTGTTTGTGACGCGGTGGACGTGGCACATGCTACTGAAGTTGCTGGGGCTGGTAGGATGGGTTCTTGGGTTAGGGATAGGTTGTTTTTACCGTGGATGGGAAGGGTGTAGATGACCTTAGACTGACTGGTTTCAGAGAGATTGGATGAATCTCGTATGGAGAGGTGAGGCCTTTTCGGCTTGAGCATCCGTGTAAAGCGTGATGATGCCCGGATGCTGAGGACTTGCGATGGACGTTGAGCGGTGCAAAGCAGGCAGGGAAGCAACCGTTGAGGAAGATGAGTTGGTATGGTGAAGGTTGATTGAGGCATGTTGTAGCCTGAATCAGCGCCGAGATGCTCTCATGTCAGTGCATGTTAGACTATTAGTCCGGAAGTCTGCTCTCAAAAAAGACAAAGATTCTGTGAATGTATTTCAGATGTCTGTCAGTATTAAGAAATATCCTCCGTTAGTGTTACAGACTGAACAATGCATAGTACACCCATAATAACAGGAGAGTCATGTCAAATGCACGCTGAAAAATGGTGGCCAGGGCCGAACAGAAGGATCGCAACATGGAGTAAGGACAGACGACAAAGCAACAGGGATCAAAACAAATGCTGTACATGAATCCTCACTTCCAGCCAGGCAACCCAGATTCCGCGCCAGAGAGAGAGCGAGAGAGAGACAGAAAAGGGTATTACAACATGATATGCAAGACCGCTGAAGCAAGATTGACCCTACTCATTATCCACAAAGGAGTTTGCGAGACGCCCAAATATAGGAACCTCAAAGTGTTCAAGCGTGTCGACTGAGCTCCTGTCAGTACAATGTCGACGATCATGATCCGCAGTGAGGACTCACCATCCCGATAGGCGCGCATGCTCAGAAATCCCATCAAGCCGAGGTCGCAAATAAATAGGAGCCAGGAAAGAAAGCTCGACCAGGAGAAAATAAGATGGACGATCTGCTCCGAGATAAGTGCTATGATCATACCAATGTCCGGGTGCACTTACAAACATGACTGTGAAGAGCATGCTCGATTGCCAAGCATGAAACCTGCCATATGTCAGCTGTATGCACGGATCTGATCGACTCCTAAGCGTGTCTATACCGAACATAGTCGCTCTTATGCTCCAACAGCAACAGGAATACCCCACCCGCTGGAGGGAGAAGAAGATATGCCAGCATAGCTTCAACGTCCATCCGGATCGGGAGGCTTGTTTCAAAGGCTCCTAGATTCCATCTTCCACCCTCGACATCTCGTCCATACCCTTGGTTTCCCTGTCCGCCACCATGGATCTGATTTGCGCCTGCGAAATGACTCGGGGATGGGAGACCACCTGGTTGCGCACCGGGGATCGGGGAGATCCGCGCGGGGACTGAAGAACGGGCGATTTGAAACGATTGGCGTCGCCTAGTGGTGGCGAAAGGGCTCGCTCGACCTCGGGAGACTCATCTTGATAGGGTGCGAAGTTCATTATGTCTGCAGATGGAGCGCAGCCAGGATAGGAAGCACAATCAAAGAGCTGAGCTTCTTATCGGACGGGTGGATGCAGCTGTTTACTTATCGCTAGCTCGTGTTGTCTTGGCGCCTCAGGCAGAAATATCTTTTATTCACATTACTCGCCCCACCACATGATCTTGTCGCAGGCTCGCAGCAGACTGCAATTCATGAATAGGCACATATATTTGTCCATTTGGCTTGGGTATCATGTTCTGTCATTGCGTTTTTACTTGCTTCAGAAAAGTATAGTACACGAAGATCATCAGAAATGTAGTCTATGCTCTCCCGCTTCCTCGGGCCACGCCAGATCCTCTTGCAATCCCACTGACTGGCCTGCGTGTAGATGTCGTTGTAGAAGTACCCCCTCGGTTCGCTGCAATTCTCGATGTGCTTGAGCTGGTTCCGGAGTAGGACACGCTCGGGGTTCTTCCCAGGCCCGTGGTTCGGACAATTCTACCTCGAGTAGTTGTCCCACGCGTCCCTCTAGCGCTACCTGCCAGAGCTCTCTTCTTCTCTTCTTCCTCTGCCTTTCGTGCTGCTGCCTCTCTCTGCTGCTGCAACTCTCGTTCGCGTCTTTCTGCGGCCTGTTGACGCAGGAGCTCTTCGTTTTCCATATCCGCAACATCCTGGAGTGCGCCTTGCCAGTTGGGATTGAGTATCAGTCGCTGGTTATGTTCGGTTTGAGATAGAATACGGGTCCATGTGTTCAGCAGAGTCGAAGCAGAGTCAACAGTGCGCGCAACAGTCTGTACGGGCCTATGTTAGCAGGGACTTTCGTTTACTGACAGAATAATTGCGTTGACATACATCCATATTCCCTTTCGCACGATCTAAACTACCCAGTAATCCTTCGATTACCTGATTGATATTCCGGACGGTCTGTAATTCATGTTGCAACGCGGCTTCGCGCGCTTCCTGGCGATCTAAAAGTGTCTCACCGTCGTGGGAGGGCCTGGTGTCGGGTGTAGTGCTGCGCTCCTCTGGGACTTTATGGTGTGTCGGCTTGTTGCTTCGCCTTTTTGAGGGAGAATTCCAGAGGTCATCAGAATCATCGTCGGATAGCTGGAGCCTGTCCATCTCCTCCGCTGTACTGCGTACTGCCATGGGTTGTAGGAAGCCCGGTGTTATGCGAAACGCGTGAAGAGTGGGGTTGAGCGTGTTGGATAAACAATTGTTGATGTTTGTGGTGAATTAGTTTGGTAGTGGATTGCAGGTATATTGAGGGGATGCATAAACACACGACGATAATCCCTCCGGCGATAAATGTTTATTGTGTTAGGCTCCCGGATCAAGGTCTATCTAGACTAGGTACATCATCGCTCATTCTCTAGTAGATACCTAATTGTTTTAGTGGTGGTGGGGCATTCAATTGGTTCAGCCTCTTTTTCTTCCCTTGGTGATGCTACTACCTAATAATTAGCGGTGGCTGGTTACAATCGACCGGCCTTCCCCCTTCACCATCTATCTATCTATCCACCCTTGGTTGCAATCCTGCACTTCTATGTTTTCTCTTTATCTCATCTTGAGAATTAACATCCATTAGATCGATTGATTTATCTTAAAGTCATCCTTCGCTCCTTATTGCGCGTCGTCAGTCAAAAAGTCTCATTGATTTGACGCTCCTTTCGGTCGGGTTGTGCGTGTTGTGAGTCGCGCGTTTTTCCTCCCTTTGTCTCCTTCGAGCCGGCCATCGAGCCATCATTCGATCATACTACCAACGAAGTGTTCAGTTTTAGCGACACAGATAGTCGTCGATCCAGATTTATTGTCATAGGGATCTTGTTGGAACGTTTGGTGTATCTCTACATCTTTACTGCAGGAACAAGTTCCGTCATTTGACGTGTCTCACACAACGCAACACGCAACACACAATGGCGACGACACCTCCTCCGCCTTCTACTTTGCGAATTCCTCCTACTCCTCGACATGGAGCCGGCTATGACCAATATGAACCATATTCTACTAGATATTCGACGAGATTAGCCAGTCAGCGGGCTTCACGAGAGTCCCACACGACTCCTCCGCCCAGTTTCGCGACCGCTCACACCAAGCCCGGTCTCAGAAGCACGAAGAAGCAGAGCAGCGATGAGTTTGAGGCATTGTCGCCTCCAGGATCGGTTTTCGGATCTCCCCGCAAGAAGCATTCGGGCCGGATGAGAACGTCTGCTGTAACACATTCACTGGAAGACCACCATGTGTCAGACAGCGCAGACCCCTTCACCACCGCGGAACTCTCGCATGCTCAACAACGTCCTCTCCAGAAATATCGACCCACCATGACTGACGGCATGCTGCCCACGCCTGCTAAAACTCCACGAAAGAAGGCAGTTGGTGCCGTCGGAGACACTGCTCGCATCCCCTTTCCAGTAGCTCAGAGCTCGGCATCTTCGCGCAGCAAGAAAACGAAGAAGGACACTGCCTATTCTTTAGACAGTTTCATCGACCATGCCACACGGGGGTCTTCGCAGATTGAGATCTACACCGACTCCCGTGATCGAATCCCAGAGATCGACGAAAGTGAGGGAAACCCTTTCTACAAGAAGGACGACAATCAGGAATCTACCAGCCATGTGTCTGCGCGCGCTTCTAGAAGGAGCAGAAGGGAGGAGATGAAGCGCGATCAGGAAGTTGATGAGGCCGTCAAACGGAAGGATGGAATGGTCTACGTATTGTGAGTACTACCCAGGCTCCGCTTTTCTTGTCGGGCTTATTCTAACTTTCTTAAAAGTCGAGGCAAGAAGATGTTTCGAAAGTTTACGGAAGACGTCGAAAGTGACGGAGAAGACGAAAACGACTTGGGTCTGCTCGCAGCGCGTCCCGACTTGATCGATTCGTCCATCACCACCGCCGTTCGCCCCTTGACCCGCTCATCCATCAAGCCTCGTGTGCTTTTCCCAAGCGCCAATGACCGTGGACGTCCAGAGCACAATATGAGCGACTCTGACGAAGAAGCAGCCACTGACATTGACGAGCACATGCTTCACAAAGAGCTTGAGGATGACGGCGATCAGGCCACTGATGTCGAAATGCCACAGCGGCCGGTGACTCCCCCACTGAAGTCTACGGTTGCGACATCTCCGTCTCCAGGTGCTACTGTGCGTTCCCTGCGACCTCGAGGCAAACGAGAGGGCGCGGAACACACCGAAACACCGAATGCGCCTGAAACGACTACAAAGCGCGTCAGTCCATTTGCCGGTTGGCTGCGCAAGAAGCAGACTCCAGCGAATGCTGTATCCAAGGCGAAGAAGAGAGACGCGGACGCAGCTGCTAGCCCCGGTGGCCCTGCAATGAAGAAGACGAGAGGGAACAGAGCCACCCCCACGTTGTGAGCTTATTCGCATGGTCCGGATCATGAAGATTGTATTTTCTCTACGCCTGTGGTTTTCACTTGTTTTTTTCGGGTATTGGTTTAGGCTGGTCTCCGCTTGATCTTTATCTCTTCGAAAGATCTGTCTTCTTTCTTTGCCTAATGAGCTTGAGCAGGAATGGGAGCATGGGTACGTTATTTGGCTGGAATCTCGCTTGAGGATTGGCGGGATGGAGTTATGTTTTGTTCACTTTTTCGGGCGTGTCGATTTCACTTTGCGTTGAATTAGTCAGAATTAGATATCCCAATGAACATGAACTCAGATTGTCAACTTGTCCTGAAAAAGTAAACTTGTCTTACAGCTGCAAAGTTGGGGATATAGGCATATCTGCTGATCTGCGTACATATTCAATACTCTGCCGTCGACCCAATGGCGTATGACTACGGGGTACACGTTGAATGCTGAGCTTTCAAAGCCAAAGAACAATCATTACTAAAGAAGTCATAAAACATTGAATAGTACAACATAGTCCTGCTACAAGTACCACGTAATCATTTATCGGCATGACAAGGAGAAGCGAAAAATTACAAAAAAGGAATGGCTGACACGACCAACGACAAAAAGTGAATGGCTTCTTGAAAGCAAGACGGACTCTCACGGGAGTTCCTAAGTATGAATTAAAGGGACGTATCCTCGACATCGCGCTGTTACAAGAAAGGCCACGTGACTTTGTTCTGTCCAGATAAGTGAAATGAGGCAAAGGAGTGGGTATCTAGTTTGTAGGTGTGTGAGGGAGAACGATGTGCATAGTATGCAATAGGTTTCATTTATCGGATGATGTCTAGTTCATCGTCATCGTCATCGTCATCATTAGGTTTTGTCATGGCATTAGAGCTGCCGCCTAGGCTGTCCCGTCCAGCTTCCTTGATACCGTTGGACGTTATGAATCGCGTCTTCTTGACGCTTCCATTGTGCTGTTTGTCGCCGTCGTAGGCGCGCTTCAGCGGACTGAGCTTGACGGCGTTTGCTCTCCTGAAGCCCGTTAGGCCGAGGCTGGTCGCAGAAACAGGGGTGGAGGCATCGAAGCTGGATTTCTCTTGTGAAGATGAGGTGGTGCTTTCGGGATGAGAGGATGTTGCGGGCTTGTTTGCTCTTGCGCGCAGGTACTCGGCGCCCACGTTGCCAGCTCGCGACGTGACTAGCTTTTGAGTAATGTCTCGTTCGCGCTGCTGCTGCACAAGGCGTCTCCGGAAGCGTTCTTCCTTGCTTTCCGCCCCACGGCCCATCATGCCTGCTGCGATGAACGGATCTTCGTCGTCGGCGTCGATGAGACTGGCGGCAGATTGGCCGGGTGCCCTGTGGCGAGAATGTTGAGCGCCGCCGCTGCCTTGAGATTTGGGAGCGGGTGCGATGTAGTACAAGGACTGAGACCCCAGATCGTATTGGGGACCATTTGACTTCAGACCGTTCGGCGTTCCTGGTTTCTTTCCACCCGCGAAAGCTCCAGTCCGTGGGCCAGAACGGCCCCCAGGACCAAACATGCCTGTGCCACTGTTGACTCCCATCCGTTGTGACTGTGCCCGACGAATCTGGAGATCAAGATGAAAATCGCAGAACTCGGTCTTGCGGCCATCCACCCATGATTGGCATGTCTTGCCGTCCTTCCTGACAGCTTTGCAGAAGCCTATATCCTGGGCATATCCGACCTCGAGAATTTTATCATCTGATGAGGAAATGGAGAGGCTGAACCTGTTGGTGTCTATCTTATTTTTGGGAGGTGGCATGATGGTGGGATTCAGGATGGCAATAAGGATGCCTTCTGATAACCTGTAATATCGAGGAAAGGCAGTGTCGAACAGGAACAAGTCAATTGTCCACTTGAGATCTGTGAGCGTGATAGCCATATACCTGTTGCTGTTGTTCAGACCATCATCAAAGGGATCAACTTCTTTTGCAGATACATTTTTGGTATCCTTGATTTGCTTTGGCTCCGATTTTGAGGCAACTATGCCGAAGACAACGTAGTCTCCGTCAATCTCTTCGGGAAGCTCAAAGTCTGGCCCTCTCACTGTCCTCAGGAGGTCTGGAATGCGAAGAATCTTCTTGTTGGAGAGCGTTCTAGTTAAAAAGGAGTGCGGTAGTATTCGATTCGATAAGTGAAGCGATGAGTACGGCTCAAACTTGGACGAGTCTGGAGTCTTCGATGTTCCCTCGTCTCGAGTCTCGTTGTCAAAGTCCGAGAAAGACTCTCCGCGAGACTGAGAGGATCCTGGCCCAGTTTCGGTTTGATTGGGTCGCCTATGGGAAAATGGTCGTGACCCCTCAGAGCCTGCGTCTTTGCGCACACTGGGTGCAGTCTGGCTTCGTTTGATGGAAGGCTTGAGATTCTGAAACGATCGCACGACATCGTCTCTGCTGAAAGTCTCGACTGGACGGCTTCTCGTCGGTGACCTGGGAGGAGCGTTTGTCCTCGCGTCAGCCGCTGCTGTCTTAAACGTCTCCATCTCCGTCTTGTCGAACTGGAACGCGGAGCTTCGGTTAACCTGAAGCCTCAGTTCTCGTTCCCTGCGAGACTTTTCAGCCGTTCGGCTTTCAGCAATCCGCTCACTAAATGTCTTGCCCCGTTTCCCACTCTCCTCTGCAGCCAGCATCTGCGCGTGAGATGCGAAAATATCGCCGGAGTGAGACATGGTAGCTTCACGAGTCCCATGCATACTTGTTGGCCGTGTCCCCAAGCGGGAGTTTGGCGGACGTTTGAGACTAACATCGCTGCCTTTGAGACCCTTGTCGATGCCGAGAAGGTATCTCCGCGGGGACGCAGGTTCAACTGGAGGAGCCGCTCGTCTGACCGGCGACAAAGGGACTTGAACAACATCCGGCTCCTGTCTGCGAGTGGTTTGAATGGGGCTCCTAAGTCTCGATACCTGCTCTTGTGACCGCGACGAGAAACTAACTGCCGATGCTGGTCTGGATTGTGTATCGTTCGATTCCAACGTGTTTGAGCGTGCGCGACTTTTCTGCAGCTGCTTCAACTTCAGTTTTGCTTCAATGGCAGCAAGCTTGAGTCGTAGTGTCTCTTCGTCTTCGTCTTCCTCTTCGTCGTCCAGGTCATCCATAGCGTCGTTCAGCTTTTGATCAGTTCGTAGATTCGGAGTAGTCCTCGAGTATTTCAAAGGCGACCCCATATTCTCCTGGCGGCGTCGCATATCTTGATATTTTCTCCGACCATGAGGAGAGCTGAGAAGTGCCTCCCTAGGAGATTTTGGCGGCCATGAGGTCTCAACCACTGGAACAATTGCGGTGGGTTTCGCTTAGTTTACTGTCGCAAGTAGGGAATAATCACCCGTAAGCAAACAGGATATGCACTCACTGCTGGTCATGGCAACATCTATTTCCTGATTTCTCCCAGTCAAGTGATATTGAGAAAGGCCAAGTGACCGTGTCACTGTCTGTTTCTTACGCTCCTTGGCTGACCATTGTTCATTGGGATGCGGGGATGGGAATCAAAGCACCGAGGTCAATCTGGAATTGAGAGCCCAGGTGCGAGTAACCAGGAAACTGAAGGATTGACTGAGCAACAATAACAATACTACCCCGTGTTTCAAAGTTGAAAACAACCCCCTTCTTTAATCTGATGGTCCCCTGTCATCAGCAAGGCGCAAGACGAGAAATTGAATCTTCCGCTGCTGCAAGTGTGAGTGGTTGTGCACACCAACAGCGCTGATTGGTCGAGGAAGCCCTGCGCGTGTCGCGTCCGCAGAATGGAAATTAAACCGACCTGAAGCTCCGACGCGTTGAGAGCATCCCTTGGAGCTACTGGTTAAGCAGCAATCTTGCGCACGATCATCTTCACCAACCGTCTATTGTCGTGCAATGTGAGATAGTTATACCGAATAATATACATACTTCGTCTCCGAGCAATACCGCCGAAATGCGGACGCGATCAACAGCTCCCTCTGAGCAGCCCGAAACAGAACAAAAGAATCTCAAAGCGCCGACTACAGTGCAGACCCCCAGCAGGACATTCATTCTCCCCTCAGCTGCAAGTGACGATGCCAGATTCATAACATTGCCCAATCCGCGAACTGGGGAGCCCAATCGCTACTTCTTCTGCCCGAAACTGGGCGTATATGAGTTTACCGTCGTAGGGTCTACGCCGCAGTTTCCACGAAGTATACTCTTCACTCCCAAACAAGACACGAAAAATTCCAATGGCGAGAGTGACCGCTCCCAAGTCAAGGGGACTATCTCCAAAGTTGCCGAACTGTGTGTTGCTACGCCAATTGATGTCATGTTCTTCATGATACCTCTGCTGGCCCCTGCCACATCGACCCATACCAAGAGGCTTTTCCAGCCGCTCGATGATATCATTGACTCGCAGGACGATTTGCCCAGTCATCTACGGCACATACTCTACAATGACCATTTCCGCAGTGTCTTGCAATCCCGGGTCGAGGCGGTATGTGACTCGGTCGAAGCAGGAGATGAGAAAATGTTCCGCTTCGACGAGGTCAAGCTCCTCAAGGAACTGATCGCTAAGGCGGAGCGTCTAGTGGCCCAGGGCCTTCCAGCGAGCTTGGAGGAGCGGTTTGTGCGTCAAGCACTGATTACGCCCTTGATGTCCGTCAAACGAGAGGAGACCATCGTCGGAGGTGCGTCGTCGACGGAAGATGACGGCGATGGGGAGTCCCAGGACAAACAGGAAACACAATCCACAACGACTGCCTCTGTCTCAACACCCTCAGGCGTCTCGACGCCTGCCACCGAACTTTCCTCTGAATCAAGTCTGGAATCCGCCACCAGGGACAATATGGCCCGTCTCCTGAGAATCTCCACCGTCCTCTCCTTCATCAAGGAATCATACATCTCCCCACAACTCTGTGCTAGGCTAGATGAGTTACTTGCTACACCTGAAACGCCCGTAGATTTCACACCCCTCCAAGACCATCTCCAGCATATAGCAGAGCTGCGGGCGCAAGCACTGGCAACTCAATCGCTCGGCGATTTCAGCCGCAAGCGCGGCGCCGATGACGACGAAGCTGCAGAGTCCCGCGCCGAGAAAAAGCGCCGCAAAGAAGAGGAAGAGAAGAAGAAGAAGGCCGGAGAATCCCGCGGTGTGCGAGACCTGAAGAAGGTCAATACTACGGGAATGAAGAAGATGAGTGATTTCTTTACGAAGGCAGCGCCCAAGAAGAAATCCTGAGCTTTCTCGCTTTATCCCAACGATTGATCAGCCGTTTCATCCGCGACAATTGTTCCCAACAGGAGACGTGATGGACAATAGAGCCTCAGTTACCAAGAAGCCAGAAGAGAGCCATTTCTTAGTATGGACTTCGAAAGTCAGATAATGGGTCAGACCAAGCGTGGTCGTGTTTTCCAGTGCCAAGGCAACCTTAGCTTGAGGCCTAATAAGCGCCATGACCCAAGCATGATTCCTCGTGCCTGCAGTCCACACACGCTTCATTGATTCTGGACAATACTGCTACAAAAACCAGACCCACCCACGCAACATACCGACCGGTCTCTGGCCGATCGAGTGAACTCTGTACTGATTGTGAGATATAAGCAATCATACTCAAACCATGCCTAGCTTGAATAGATGTCACAGACATGCATGTATTTTATACCCCTGCGTCTGGATTTAAGAAGGACAATCCAATCGCCCTAGAGATCAATGTGACCAGTACAGAATCGCTCAATGCTTAATTTTCTTTTGTCGTGATATACATCTCCTAAACTTTGACATCGGCAATGGCGGCTCCCGTAATCCTGGTAAAAAGCAGTTAGTGAGTCAACGTTCTCGCTTGGAACCGTAAAGACATCATCCAGACGAGGGTACACATACAGGAAGGATCCGTTAGAAGGCTTGCTGATAACCATTGCTTGTGCCAGCTTCTCCTCGCTGATATCCGGGAACTTCTTCAGATAATACTCTTCCTTCAAGGCCTTGGTGACGGCCTCAACCTTGGACTGCGGCAGCATGTGGACCGTGCAACCTCCCCAGCCAGCACCCGTAAGGCGACTTCCCCAGGTCCCGGCGCGGCGGGCGATGGCGCAGATCTCGTCGACTTCCGGGGCACTGCAGTCGTAGTCCGTTCGGCAGGATTCCTGGGACTCGTTGAGCAGCTGGCCCAGGTAGTGGATGCGTCTCTCGTCCAAGGTGTGGGCCTTGGCCAGGCAGGCCTTGAAATCAAGCACGCGCCGGGCTTCCTTGAAGCAGTGCAGGGCACGCTGACGGAGTAAGAAGCGCTCCGCCTGGACAGGGAATGCGGAAAGGAACTTGGCCTCGAGCTCGGGGACTGTGATGCCGAGGAGCTTGGCGATCTCTTCCCGGGTGTATCCCTGCTCCTGGGTCAGGAATTCCATGGTGGACTGGATCACGGAGTCGATCTGGTATTCCAGTGGGTCCCCGAGGCGGCCCTCCTTTCGCATGAATTCCTCGTGGAAGTTGCGCAGACTGTATCCCAGCGAGCTGCTGTCCTTGGTCAAGGTGATACCGTGCTGCGCGGCCAGCACCACGGCGGCGAGAGTGCATTCTGCCACGCGCAGATTGTAGTGACGGGGTGCCGTCTCGGCTTTGTTTGAGGTGACGAAGCTCTGGGCCATGAGGAAAGTGATTTCTTCATCGGCCTTGGGAATCGGGACATGCTGAACAGCAAAATTGGGGTAGAACTGGGTATAGAGAAGATATCCGCGACGAGAGAAGATGGAAGCCGCTTGGTCCATTCTGAAACATAAAACTGGTCAGCTTACAATACGATATGCTGCAGCAGTTTATGAACTTACCCTCCCGAGTAAACACCAACGGCTCTCTCCGAAACAACAGCCAGATCGAGCAAGTCTTGCTTCGAAACATTGTGGTTATTGGCCTTCATGACAGCCAACGCACTTGCGCAGACAAAGGCAGCACTGCTGGAGATACCACCGCCTGGAGGCACATTACCATCCACCAAGACCTCGAAGCTTGCTGGTGTAAACGAGCCATCCGCCTTCTGCTTGCGCAGGAACTTCAACGCGCCCGAAAGACCAGCCTTGAAGTAGTTGACCCATTCATGCTTCTTGGGGTCAATCTCGATATCGGTATCCCGAGGCACAGTGAATTCGCGAGAGGGGAACTTTTCGGGTGAAACATTGGAGATTTTGACAAATGATTCCGAGCCAGTAGGAGGAACAACCTTGACGGCGATAATCACGTCGACACTTACAGCTGTTGGGAGGACGTCGTATAGGTTGTAGTCGATGTGCTCTCCAATGATGTTGACACGGCCAGGGCTGCGGGCTACGAAATCTGGGCGATGACCGTATAATTTGTTGAAATGAGTAACTAAACCGTTGAACCGTGACTGGTGCTCAGGGGCAGCAGAGGCAGTAGAGGCATCGTCCGTAGCGTAGACCTCAGCTATGGATTCTGTTTGAGGCACGAGTTCCTGCGGGGTTGCCATGGCGGGGTATCTGAGTACAAGATCAGGGAGGAGACGAGATGTCAGAGGTTGTTTCCGGGGAAAAGAAGAGAAGGAAGATGAAAATGCGAAGATTAGAGAAAGAGAAACAGGTGTACCTGACACACGGAAATAATGCTGAAATTGGTGGGAAAGCTACCAAACTAATCTATCTATGTCATAGGGGGAAACGTGGGGAGGGGCTGAGGGGCTGAGGGGCAGAGACACCACGAAATACGCAGGAGACATCGATGCCTCAATAATACCTGAACGCCTTGGATTAGGGTGGGGATGCCCGAAATGATGTCCCGGAGGTCCCGTGCCTCTCACTGGGTGAAATTCGTCTTGCATGGAACCTGGACGCCGCTCGGTTAAATTCAACCCGGAGATTATCCCGTTCCTACTAACTCCGTACCTCTACTTTAGTCCATTTCGATCACCCCACGGAATAGTTTCTCCGTCATTCACCGGCTCCCCGATTTCTCCAGCTTTTTTAGACTCTATCATAGGCCATAGGCTACATAGCTACCCTTAGCTAGGTGGTACTGACCCCACTCGCCCTCCACTGTGCTCCGTATGGGGCTTAGGGTTCTCAGTAAGCAATCAATGTGTGCAGTACCTATGTAGCTATCCTGAGAAGCTCACGATCCGTCCAGAATAGAAGTAGGATTTGCCTTGCAATCTGATTCTCTATAACCATGCAGACTGAGTGTTTGCTCCTTGAGAGTTTGCCCTCTGGTGTTTGCTCCCACCTTTGCAATTATTTCTTCGCTTCTCAAACGGTGATTCATTCACTCTTCTGCAGTTACTTACCAATGCAACCTTTGCCTTTCTTTGAATGCAGCCATTCTCTTTGTTGAAGTCTTCCCTTCTTCTGTTTGACCTCATCACCAATACGACAAAGACTGCGGATATAGCACCGACCAAACTAACTCCAAGCCCGTAGAGATACGCTGATTGACAGGGCAGACCGGAAGTTGTTGATAACTGGAAGGTAATCCAGCCAATCATACAAGAGACACATGTACCTCTGGCTTAATATTAAGCTGTCAAATGTCCAGGTGTTCCAGTTGATCACAAAAAATGTCAAGCAGATGTGGACCGGAGATTCCACGATGAGAGAGGGACTCCACCGCCCAGAGCAGCTTTAGAGGACCATTTTGACATATTTCAAGCACTCCCCAGGGTACGAAACTCGGACCCCTTCTCGCACATAAGAAGATTCCAGACAGATGCAACTGTGGCCTGACTACTCTAGTGGCCAATGGCTCCTGCCCAGCACAGGGCGAAGGTGCTTATATCTTGAGCAATTGTCCAGCCAGGCCTTCCTGACCTACCCTTCGCTTCCCCCGGCGAAATATCTGCATGGAAGAAACGAACATATAAAGGATATTCAGTCAGCAATTAGCGCCATTGGAGCTAAGTCCAAGGAACCAACCCATTCCGTTCAATCCGGTTGCTCAGACCTAGTGTTTGAGGGTTCGCGGTCCTCCAGTAAACGACAGCCAGCGCAGCCCACAGGACGACGAACACGCAGAACGCGCGAGTAGAAGGGAAGACTACCTTGGACACCAGGCCAGACGCCAGGCAGAGTTCCATGACAACCCGCCGCGTGAGAGCGTCCAACGTTCCTTCTCAAACAACGGTTTCTGGGCCACGGACGGACCAAGGCGGCTCAAGGCCGAAGACGTCATGACCTTCGACCCTGCATCCACCAATGTCAAGTTCTTTATACGCAGGATTAGGTTCTGGTGCCGAATAATACGATCATGCCTACTTTATGTGGCTTTCCAAATCGCCACACCACCCATCCGAGCGATTCCAAATATACACTGCGACTGGACCAGACCTCATAGTGGATGGAGTGCTCTTAGTTCGTCTTGGAAAGGCTGAAGTATCCGAGAGAACCTCCACAGGGATTTAGAACCGGAATCACGAAATAATTCCACATCACTGGAAAAAAGAAGGGGCTGCAAGGCAAGCCTGTGGGACACGTTCTTAGGCTGAAGTCAGTGTTGAGATAATGTCATCCGCAAGTAGGCGAAACGAAACATACTGGACGTTTCATCTAGCATAGGGCCAGATTCGCCCAGAAACTGGGTTTGTACTCTCTAAAAGTACTTCCTTGGTAGGCAACTGTGCCCAAAAAATGCTAACCAGTCGAGGACAAGTAGCACGATACATGGACAATCTTCGCCGTGGTCTCGCCGTCTATTCAACACACGAACGAACATGGCTTCTGATGACAGCTTCGCTGACGTTCTGGCTGTGGTGAATCCAGCGCAAAACCTTATAGCTGAGAGGCTGACTCCCGGCAGCCAACATCGCCTACTCCGTGCACGAAGTGATAGTGAAGCGACTACTCTCACTGGTGATCCCATGATTCTTCCTTCTGCGACCCTCTATGAACAGCCGCCTGGTTCACCGAGGCGGATGTTATAATCGCATCGCAGATTTTTAGGGAAATTGTGGACCCTATCTTTTGAACAAGATAGGCAACATGTCAACAACAACATCTCTGAGGTAACTCCAGGACAAAAGAACTACATCTCGCTCTGATGGCTTTTGCCGGGAGTCTTTAGGAAGTCGAAGACGCACAGCCGCACGGGTGGTTCTAGTTGATACTTGAATCTCCTGAGTCGGAAATTTTTGCGGTTGGCTCATTTCATGATAGTGGTATGTTGATGACCTATCCCTGGGCTGTACACCATTCTTCCTTAGAATAATAATAATATATTATGATACAGCTGTGGGAAGCGAGGAATGAAGAGTCTCATTGTAGACTATGTTCAATGGCAGACGGACAAGCCAACAAGATGGATAGGGGAGTAATGGCTGGGGAACTATGACTCGGAAAACTTGCGACAAAGACCAAATGACTTGCACTACAAGGACCAACCACCAGCTTGCATATGATACAAAGATAATTTCACAAGACGCCATACTGATATCAGTGGCCTCTTCTGACTGCCCGTGGTCGAGTCAAAAGGGGTCAATCGTCCTTTGCCATTAAGATAATGAAATGAGACAAATCTCCTTTTGCTTCATCTCTTTACTGGCCTTGTCTCCATGCTCAGACGCCAAACCTGGTCCGTAATCCTTGGAGATACATAGCTTTACTCGATGGTACCACCTCAGTCACTGTCCACTATTGTGTCTCCATATAGGGCCTAGCGTGGACTGAGTACTCGGTAATAAGGTACGGAAGAGCAATCAATCGCCAGCAAATTATCAATAACAGCTGACATGCGGGGTTTCGAGGAAGGTATGAACTACCTACGCCCAGTACCTTAGCTCAACCAAGTCAGAAACTGATCCACTTTGGATGATGATCAGGCCACGAAGTGCTATCTTAAACTGTTATGACCTGGCCTGACATTGGACTGCATCATTGTCTCGCTATTAACCGCAAGTAACAGACAAGTATGAAATTTCACTCTTGGCATCGGTGAGTTACATTGACCCATACATTCTCATGCCTGACAAGCAGATCCAGAACCCAGTTATTGAACGGTCGAGTACCAAGATGCTGCGTCCGTGGCATTCAATGGGTTGAAGGACCGGTGAATATGGTTATAGTACCTTCGTGGATCAAATCCCCTTAGAGATTGATTCCGTGAGGAACACCAGGCAGGCATCTAGCCCGCTTCTGATGCAGCTCTTCTGCATAAATCCGTCTCCAGGAGCACAGCCGCGATCATCAGCTGTCATGGCGTTTGGAGCACGTCTTGCAAAATGTCTCTTGCCGTTAGGAGCATTACAAGCTCAAGACTAACCAAGACCATAGACGTTGATTCATACTCAATATCAACCTGACGACAGGCGCTATATTCTGGAGCTCATGACGCCAAGTCATCAGTACGCCCTTCGAAAGTGCTAACCCTATGTCTGGCCAACGATAAGCCGCACACAGAAAGACAGAAATTCGATTCTTCAATGCGGTGAAGGATTCTCATTCCTCAAGTGATTATGGTTGGCATGCAAGAATGTCCAAAGCCACCTTAAGCTGGATGTACTGCGATATATTGCATCTGTAATCCATTGGTCTGTAACTCGGCTTTTATGATCAGCGTTGGGTGTGCATGCTCCCAGCTGATTTTGTAGACAAGCATCAAGCTATGTCTGAAGAGTCGAGGTCCATGCTTGTGCTCCGTAAGGTACTTGGTAGTAACTACTCCGCATTATGAGTAACGAGAAAGCTGCCAATCAGGTGATGTACAAACAAGCGGATGGACGCCGAACATCGGAGCACGCTGTCCAATAATGGGCGTTAAGGTGATTGGCCTTAGGCCGCGCTAGGCCGCTGTCGGTTAGCTGGTCCAGATACTCTCCCCCGAACTCTGACTCTTCACTCGGCCTCTTTTTGGTGTCTTTCCCTACTGAATTTCTGGTCGAGCAATTCCATCTCCTCTCCTCTCTCCAAACCCTCCATTTCTCTCTTATTTTGGCCTGGCAGTCATCCGCCATCAAGATGATGCCTCTAAGACCATCAAAGAGCGCTCTGCGCTCTTTCCACTACCAGAAGTACATTGCTGCTGGTAGAAGACCATTCACCTCTTCGTCCGTTGCCGGTACGGTTTCGCCCCACCGCTTTTCTGCTCAAAAGCGCAACCAGAGCACTGCAACAGCTACGGCTTCGTGAGTTTTCTCTTTGGGATAGGACTCCTAGAAAGTTCTTGTCCACAGACATTGACATTTCAATGCTTTAGGAATTCAAGACCTATTCCTAGTCCCGCCTTCAACCAGGAGCCTCATCGCAATGAAGTTGCACCTCTGCAAAATCGGCAGCTACCCGAGCTGGACGACTCGTATGTCAATCCAAAAGGCGTCACATCAATTGATTGTTTAGAACAAGCCTAATTATCGTGTTGCGCAGGTTTGTCGGTCTTAGTGGTGGACAGATCTTCCACGAAATGATGCTCCGACTTGGTGTTAAGCACATCTGTGAGTCATCCCTCGCTTACCACTATTTTGGTCGAGTCCCCCTTGACCGGACGATGTACTGAATTCGCAAACTAGTTGGCTACCCCGGTGGTGCCATTCTCCCCGTGTTCGATGCCATCTACAACTCTAAGCACTTTGACTTCGTTCTTCCTCGCCATGAGCAGGGTGCCGGACATATGGCCGAAGGTTACGCACGTGCTTCTGGAAAACCCGGTGTTGTCCTCGTTACTTCCGGACCAGGAGCCACCAATGTTATTACACCTATGCAGGACGCTCTTTCTGACGGTACCCCTATGGTTGTTTTCTGTGGTCAGGTTCCCACTAGCTCGATCGGTACCGATTCTTTCCAGGAGGCCGATGTCATCGGTATCTCGAGAGCCTGTACCAAATGGAATGTTATGGTTAAGTCCGTTGCCGAGCTTCCTCGTCGGATTCAGGAGGCTTTCGAGATTGCAACCAGCGGTCGCCCGGGACCCGTTTTGGTCGATCTTCCCAAGGACATCACCGCTGGCATCCTTCGCAAGCCCATTCCCATGAACAGCACTATTCCTTCCCTCCCCAGTGCTGCTACCATGGCTGCTCGTGAGCTCAGCATGAAGCACCTTGAGAGCAGCATTGACCGTGTCGCCCGCCTGGTTAACGTTGCCCAGAAGCCCGTTTTGTATGTCGGGCAGGGTCTCCTCGCTCACCCAGATGGTCCCAAAGTGCTGAAGGAACTGGCGGACAAGGCCTGCATTCCTGTCACTACCACTCTGCAGGGTCTCGGAGGCTTTGATGAGCTTGACCCCAAGGCTCTTCACATGCTGGGAATGCACGGATCTGCCTACGCCAACATGGCTATGCAGGAAGCTGATCTGATCATTGCCGTTGGTGCCCGTTTTGACGATCGTGTGACTGGTAACCTCTCCAAGTTTGCTCCCCAGGCCAAGCTGGCTGCCTCTGAGAAACGTGGTGGAATCGTCCACTTCGAAATCATGCCTAAGAACATCAACAAGGTCGTTCAGGCCAACGAGGCTGTGGAGGGCGACTGTGCCGAGAACATCCGCCTCTTGCTTCCCCATGTCAAGCCGGTCTCTGAAAGACCAGAATGGTTTGCTCAGATCAATGACTGGAAAGCCCGCTTCCCCTTCTCTCTGTACGAGAAGCAGACCCCGGAGGGCCCCATCAAGCCCCAGGCTTTGATTGAGAAACTCAGCGACCTAACCGCCCCCATCAAAGACCGCACCATCATCACTACTGGTGTCGGTCAGCATCAGATGTGGGCTGCCCAGCACTTCCGTTGGCGCCATCCCCGTACCATGATTACCTCTGGTGGTCTCGGTACCATGGGATACGGCCTTCCCGCTGCTATCGGCGCCAAGGTCGCACGGCCCGACTGCCTCGTCATTGATATCGATGGTGATGCTTCGTTCAACATGACTCTTACCGAACTTACCACGGCTGCTCAGTTCAACATCGGCGTCAAGGTCCTCCTGTTGAACAACGAAGAGCAGGGCATGGTGACACAATGGCAGAACCTGTTTTATGAGGACCGGTACTCGCATACCCACCAGAAGAACCCTGACTTTGTGCCCATGGCTCGGTCTATGGGTGTCGCTGCTGAGCGCTGCACTAAGCCTTCTGAGGTTGAGGAGAAGCTGAAGTGGCTGATCGAAAGCGATGGTCCCGCTCTGCTTGAGGTCTTCACTGACCGCAAGGTGCCCGTGCTCCCCATGGTTCCCGCTGGTAGCGCCCTGCACGAGTTCCTGGTCTATGATGAAGCCAAGGAGAAGGAGAGAAAGGCCCTCCTGAGAAGCAGAACCGCCCCCGAGTACCTTCACAAGTGATCATGCAGACGCTTTCGGCTTTGCAACCTTGCTTACTGATGTTTCATCTTTCTGTTGATATCCATGGCGTTTCTGGCGGGTTCTAAAACGCAACTGGGCGGAATGTATGCTTAAATCGACATCCAGCCTCTCACACAAAATCTTCTTCCTCATGAAAGTGGGAAAAGATCATAAGGGGACTCAAAAGTGACACTCTATTCGGTCTATTTTCTTCACAGCCCCTTCCTTTTCATGTTCCCTTGGCATGTCCATTATAATCTTGCAAAAAATCTGCCCCTGGTTTCTGTCGGACATTAGCTTGTATATAATGCACATTATCATTACTTTTGAAGGTTACTTAGATTGGAAATCTTTCATGTACGTCTTAGGAAAGGATGGGCAAATCGATGATTGATATCACAGACTGTCTCTGAAGATTTGAAATGAGGAATTCATCTATGAACATGATGGACTGGTCTGCTAAATCTACGCCATCGATCCCAATCAGATGATAATAAATGCAGGTGGCTCGTTATGCTACCATATCCGCCATCAGTGAGGTGATCGGGTGCAGAAAGATGCCTACTGTCACGTGACACTCACTGACGTCGGTTATTCCTGAGGCCATCAAAGGGCAAGTCACTTGAAAGCCGCGGTCCGTATCCGAGGAGGCGGTAGATCGATCCGCCCTCCGATTGACGACTGAGTGATGAATAAACTATCTCCCCTCTTCCCATCATCATCATAATCATCATCATCAGTCCTGTAGTTCAGCTTGTGACTCAGCTACGACCTCGATTTGCACGATGCCAGACACGTATCTCATCTTCTAGAATTACGGATTTCCAATCTCCCATTACACTCGACCGTCTTTCTCACCACGATCTGTCGCAACCATGGCTTCTGTCCCCGGATATCCCGCCACTACTGGCAGAGGCCGATCATCGGATGCCACATCAATTCGAGACGAGACTACCGCAAGCACAGACAGAAGCAGTTTTACAAGCGCCTCACCGGCAGAATCCATGGAGGGCAACGAGGCAGTTCTACTCAACAAACCACTCGCATCCAGCGAGGATGCGTCAACTGCCGCTTCTGACACCGCCACCACCAGCAAATCTCCTGTCCCGAGCTCGACCGCTGCTGAATCCGTGAACGAAGAACCGCGCAAGTGCTGGATCTGTTACACCGACGAGACGGAAGATTCCCCCTTGAACTCCGAATGGCGCTCGCCTTGTCCCTGCGCCTTGACCGCTCATGAGGCTTGCCTCTTGGACTGGCTCGCTGATCTCGAAAATCCTCGGTCCCGCAAACGAAACGGTCACGGAGCCAAGATGGTGTGTCCGCAGTGTAAATCCGAAATTGTGGTCTCTCGTCCGCGAAGCTATATCGTTGACGTCGTCCGGATGTTCGAGCGGCTTGCTGGACGGCTGGTCCTACCCGGTATGGTGTTTACTCTGGCGGGTACCGTTTGGGCGGGATGCTGCGCACACGGCGTTTATTCGATGTATTTCGTTTTTGGGACCGAGGAAGCGAGACAAATTTTGGAAGAGACGGCGGATGGAACTTGGAACTCAGGTTTGAATCTAGGGTTACCACTGATTCCGCTCGTGCTCATCTTCTCACGGACTCGCTATGCCGAGGGTCTTCTACCTGCCATCCCGGTCCTGTTCTTCGCGACGCATAACCCGGGCCAAGAGCTCGACCTTGACCTGTGGCCGCCTAGTGCTGCTATGACGTTTGCTGCGCTTCCCTATTTTAAGAGCTTCTACAGCGCGGTGTATCAAAGATTATTCGGCAAGCTGGAAAGGAAGTGGGTTGCCGAGGTGCAACCGCGCCAAGCAGATATCAACGAGTTTGATGATAATGCGCCACCTGAGCATCCGGAGGGAAGAAACGATGCCGAGAATGGCCAGATATTGATGGAAATTGATCTGGAGTTCCAAGTTGGAATGGGTAATGATGTACGTCAGGGTATTCTGGGTCTCCATGCCGGAGAAAACGCTCAGAACAACGGGCAAAACCAAGATGGCGGCCAAAATGAAAACAATCTGGGACTAGGACGGCGAGACGACCTCATACATGAGACAAGCAACCTTGCCGATATCATTCTTGGGGCTCTCGCATTTCCAGCGATTTCGGCATCCATGGGAGATCTGCTCAAGTATATTCTCCCCACGTCGTGGACAAGCGCACCGTCAGCCTTGGAGCGCGGCCGACCCGGTCTGCTACAGACGCGGTGGGGGCGAAGTGTCATCGGAGGGTGCGTGTTTGTGCTGCTGAAGGATGCATTGGTACTTTACTGCCGCTGGAAGCTTGCACAGACACACAGGAAACGAAAGGTGCTGAACTACGACCGGAAGAAGAAGAAAGTCGTTGGCCACTGAGTGGCTTTGTCGAATTTTTTCAAAACATTGGCACTTTCGCTTTCTGCTCTCTCTACTCTTATGACTACGGATATGATGACGATGCATTTCACTGGCGTTGGTGGGGGATTACCCTGGAGGATTTATCTAGTCTACTTCTCTACACTCGGATCTTCAACGGATGCCAAGGTTTTTCTAAGATTTACGAGTTTTAGATTCCCACATGGTAGGCACCTCAATGGCATTTATTGCAGGCGATATCACGAACAGTGTGAATTATACAATCAATTCAAAATAATGGCATAAGTCATATTATAAAGGAGGGGAATCAATATCGACTGTACTAAGATCGTAGAGTGAGCTACTGAATAAGCGCGCGGCTAATCAAACTTTCCGCCGCCGATTGCCAAAAACCAAAATGAATGCCTTCACTTGCACCAGCCCAGCTAGTCTACCTCACGCAACCCAACACTCACCACGCACAATGCGACCCCTCTCCCCCATCCTCGCCTCCCTGGCGAACGTCTTCAGAATCCGTCTCTCCCAAACCCCCGTCCGACCAGCCATCAGCCGGCTCAGCAGCGACCTCTTAATACGCCAACCCACCGCTCCTGTGCAACCCACAGCATCAGCATCAGCAGTCATCGGGACCCGGCCCTTCTCAACAACAAGCGCCCTACTGAAACGCAACAAAAATGCCCCTCGCGGCGATAAAAGAATCAGTAAGTCATACTTTCCCCGGGCGTTTTTTCCCCCGAACCACGACCACACCTCGCCGATAGGCACCGACAGGAACCAGAAACGGGAATGAATCGGGGATTGATGCAATGCGGTTACTAACGTGCCACAGCGCTAATCCGCTACTTCCTCTGGCACCCGCTCACCCCCGACCCCTCCGCTTCTCGCGAACCCGCTACCTCCGGCACTGGACCATCCACCGCGCCTGGCAACTGTACCAAGCGCAGCAGCGCCGCGCGAGACAGCTCGAGCTGCAGCGCCAGTGGCAGGCGATGAACGCCGCGTGCGAGGAGCTCCGTACGGGCGCCGGGGATGGGGGCAAGCTGTTCCGGATCTCGATGAATAAGCGTAGGGTGTATAGGGATATGTTTCCGATTGAGTATGGCCGGATGCAGACCGAGGGCCCGAGTAAGGAGGGGTGGAATCATGAGTGGAAGCGTATGGAGAAGAAATACTAGGCATTGTCCTTTTTACGTTGGTGGGCGGTCAATGGAAAGGCTGGTTTGTTGAGTCTATTTGTAAGTATTGGCATGTACTATAGGTCATTTTGATTCTGAGTGTTTAGGTTCATGGACATCTGATTCACCGATATAGACTGTTTTTGAAGCCAATAACTATATTGTGCGATTTTTGCCCTCGCTCTTGCTCAGGTCGGACACGAGCATGACGTACAGCCGGAATTGACATCAGCATGTTCAGTATGTGTCAAAATGCTGGATATAAGACATAGATGAAGTGCAAAAGACGCTAGACAGCATCAGAAAAGGGAATGAATATAGGAAGGATAAAAGAAAGAAGCAAAGTTGAGGCGCAGGGAGAATCATAACGAGACAAAGCGCTCCAAAGTCGAGAAGGAAGTATACCAAAGGAGGGGAATCCGGAGTGCAAGTGTTCATGTAAAGGAGAGTGCGAGCAGGATGATATACCCTAGGGAAGACAGCGCAAGAGAAAAATAAGAAAAATATCAACAGAGAACCTCCCAAACGCCAGTAATGCAAGTTGCGATGATCAGTCAACGACCACCAAATGATCCACCTCTGCTCCTTCTTTTTGAGAGATCCGATAAAATAAAAGCTTGAACCGATGAGTCCGTGGCAGCTAGGGTCGTATTACCATCGGATGTCATAGCACGATGCAACATGAGGTCTTCCGCTTATCGAATGTAAGAAGGGCGGCTCGCGTAGCGGCTTCGAAAACGTCGTCTACTCCCTCCCCTGTCAACGACGAGCATTCGAGGTACTTCCTGGCGCCAATTTGCGTGGCAGTTTCGCTTCCTTCCCTGGATGTGACGAAGCGTAGGGACTTCTTCCGCATTTCTTCAATCGCCAGAGGATCTTCGCGCAAATCTTTCTTTAATCCGACAAGGATGATGGGTACGCCGGGACATCGCTCGTTTGCTTCTTCAATCCACTGCAGACGGAACTAGTGAGTTGACCAGTAACGACACTTGGCGAATTCCAACATGAACGAACCTTGTGCTTTACGTTTTCCAAGGAATCCGGCGTATCCACAGCAAATCCTATCAGAATAACGTGCGCTTTGGAATACGCGAGTGGCCGCAATCTTTCATAGTCTTCTTGGCCTGCAGTATCCCACAAAGCCAGCTGAACAGATCGACCATCAACTCTGCAGTCCGTAACATAGTTTTCGAATACTGTGGGGACCTGGTGATACGGTCAGAAGCTATATTCCTGGCGAAAGGGAAGCGCATTAAGGATGCATGAGTACTAACATAGTGCTGGAAACGGAATACATTAGCTGCCACAGTTCACAAACCAGTATCAAATTATGAGATAACATCCGGATGAGGGACTCACAGTTGGGAAATAACCAAGCGTAAATACACTCAGTAAACTAGTCTTCCCGCAAGCACCATCCCCAATAATGACCAGCTTTCTGCATTGAGGACGAGATCAGCATATTGTATCATTGAGAGAATGCCAATTCGAGATCATGGCTTGCTTCCTCCAGACCAGGACAAGGATGGTGCGACTAACGCGGCCGGAAACCGCCTGTATTGACCTGGACGTGGACCACAGAGATCCACCGCAGCAACCAGAAGGGCCTTGTACATACCTCCGCATCACATTGTCATTCTGTTGTTGAGCCATTGTTCCTCACGAATGACCGAGAGACACGGCTCCCTTCGAAGATGAGAGTGTGGAAGATATTCGAGCGAAGGTATTCTAGATGGGGAAACGACAAGGGGAGGGCGTTGTTCACTGTTCAGCTCCGGCTGATATCGAAACTTAGCGGAATCAGGCAACCGTAAGATCTGACCGTAATACCGAATGACCGGACGGTTTGCGACGAAACGAATGGAAGAAGGTGGTGAAATTGCTTCTTCGGGTAGAAAATAATAGCCGCCTCCCCCTAAATTGCTTGAGTGAAAGAGAGGATGATAACGAGTTTGAGAATTAGTTGTCCTGGAAGGCGGTCGAGGTGAGGCTGATGGACTTTTAAGTCAATTGATGATCGACCAACACGGGGGAAGTGGGAGGAGTTTACCACTTTCCCCTTCTGGTGGGGATGTCTTGGTAATACCAGTTTGGTTTCAAAAGTAAGGTAAGAAACCTTACCGGCGGTACTCCGTATACAGTACAGTACAGACGTCAGGTAGGCCAAGAGGTACCTATTATTATTCCGCAACGACCCCGACTTACAGAAAGAGGGAGAGAAGATGATGCTGATAACAATAAGAACAAATATCGAGAAGTCACGAGAAGAGAAGTAATAAGGCTTTAAATAATACAAATGTAGCTCGCCGAAAGCCCAGCCGATTTATAAAATGCTAATCAAAGCAAAGGATGGGATCGACCCGTAGTTGGCGCAGCTGAAGAGACCCCATGGGCCATATCTTCCCACAAATAATGGCTTTATTAAAGAATTGTCTCAAATCGCCTACACTAGGTGCTATATCTTTTCCCATTCGAATCATAACTGTTGTTATAAATGGATGCATGTGGAGAGAGAGATGAGACGGAGAAGTAAATAATACCTAATATCGCATAGGTTAGACTATAGATAGAGCTACCTAGATAGAGCCTAGAGCAAAGAGGGGACTGGCCTCGACGACAGTGGGCAATTATACCAAGACCATGCTTCGGCCAGTCCGGTATCTAGTCCAAACACCTATCTTAGCAACAACATGAACAATTGCTCGTGAATTTGGCAGTCACGAAGATTGTTCCAGAATGATTTTCAAGACTGTCCTTGCTTTATAATGCTTGGTATGCCATATGTCACTTAATTTACATGGCCTTGCTTCTAGCCTGTCTGCAGAATGATCATAGACTGGAACCTAAGAAAGTTACTTTATCTGATTTCATCTGCTTGGGTACCTTAAACGGTATATCAAGGAGGTAGGTACCTACCTTACCTTTAAGGTACCTCAGGGAACTCCGGTAGTTGAGTAAACGGATGGAGAGCAAAACTGTAATGGATACCTCAGGCAGAATAATTTTTAATGCCCAAATCTCCAGGCCTCCATCTCGCTTGCGGCGGCTATCCAGCCAGCGGCACGCCAGCCATCCAGACGGCGTCAAGATCCACCATCCAAAGCCCATCAATCATCCATCGCCATTCTCCAGTGGCAGCCAGCCTTTCAAACCCCATCCCGCTTCTGGCTGCGCTTGTTCGTTCCCCCAACTCCCATTTAGATCCTAATACTTATCGAGATCCCCTCCTTGTCACCCCGGAGGGACTTGCAATACGGAGTATATTCTTCAGTCGCCTAACTTGGACATTGCCCGCCTCCCCTGCGTGCGGCCAAAGGGTTCTCTTCCACCCCTCTTCCGCCCTCATTATTCCCCATTTTGTCCGCCCAGGATCTCCTCTCTTTATCCTAACTCCCCACCTCTCACTCGCAACTATCGCACCCTTGTTAGGGACTGCTGACATCGGATATCCTCTTCGTTCAGCTCTCTTGATCGCAATTTACTCCGCTTACTGCTCGCCGGTGAGCTCTGCTGCGCTCGGCTGTACTCTACCCTTGCTGATCTTGCTCTAGCAAGGCTTTTGGTTTTGGAAGTGGAAGTATCAAGGACAGCTAGGGTTTTGGGCCCGCTTTACCTCTCGACGATCTTGTTTACTCTCGGGGAGCGGATATCTTTGCGAACTCGTTCTTCATGGCTCCTGCGCCGCATACACAACATTCTCCAAACTCCACAATGCTGAACAGTTCGTCAACAACTGCTCATTCAGCGCCCACCACAAACGGTGACGTTCACGCGCCGAAAGACCACCACCTTTCCTCTCCGTCAGACACAGTCTCCGCACCGGTAAACCGAAAGAAGCAGAAACGCAGACAAAAACAGGCAGCTCGCCTGGCCGAGCGTCAACTAGCAAACGGACATGTATCGACGGACGACGCTACTCAGAACGGATCCAACCACGCTAATCCAGAATGTTACCATTCCGACGATGGTGGCGCTGACGGACCCGACCACGAACAGCCCACGAACGGTGACGCATATCATAAGGATGGTCAGGATTCGGTGGACGCGCACGTTGATTCACAAAATCCCCAAGGGCCGAACGGCACGGAGAACTCTCAGAAATCGAC